TGCCCTTTATTGTTTGTGTAGCGCCTCGTAAGGCACTGTTCTAACAGCATTCCTTAATGATGTTTCACCTTCATACAGGTAGTTACTATGGTAACGGCCCAAAACCTCCTCAAATGCCACCGCACACATAATAATAGACGGTGAATTAACAGTGTTACGAGCACTTACTATAGTGAGAAATAGTTCAAATGGTCCGCCTCTCATTCCCACAGACACTGTATCTGTATGGATTATACTGACGCCCAGTCGACTGTGCTCACTTTATTACGTGTTGTTACGCACACATTAGGCATTGTTAAAATGTGCTATTTTTTAAAGGGAGTTAATATAGGGACAATGTATTCCCTAAAAGTACAGAACACAATGACAAACAAATATTTTTATATACAATAGTGAAAGAGCAGCTTTAAAGGTTGTGATCAAAACAAAAATGTATGACATCCGCAGACTACCTTCTTGCCACTTTATGTCACGTTGTTAATTAAAGTAAATATACAGTAACTGTTATGAACACTGCTCATCTGACAGCAGACAGATGCAGCTGTTGACTCTGATTCAAGGACATTTTGTTAAATGTCTGTTGCCTTGACTCCTCTCTCCTCGCCTCCTCCACTTGCATCTCTGGTGCGAGGAGAGGAGGCGAGGAGAGAGGACTCAAGGATGTACGAACCGTGAAATGAGAAAGGCCTCTTTAGTGTAGGATTACCAGCTCTACCATTGGAGGAACATTACACCAGTATTAAAACCCAGAGCTGTGAACGATCCAGCTTTCTGAAACAGTCACACAGAAAAAACAAAGAGAAGGTTTACTGTAACATCCACACTATTATCTGCTTTTCTTCTTTTATCCTTCAACCAGGGGTAAAACATTTTGTCTGAATGTTTACTGAATGTGTTTGTACAGCGATTGATATCTGTTTAATGTTGTCTTGTTGTTTGTTTTTCCCTGAACCCCATTTTGTCTCTCATGTATTACCATTACATTGCAGTCACAGAGCTCAGCTTCAGCTGTTCTTTGAAACCACTCACCTCTTGGTTTGATTTGTACATCAGGCACCAAAACGTTGTATCATTAGTTACACTCACCTGTAATGAGGCTGCTGCACATTTTTCCTTTTAATTTAAATTCTACATTTAAATGATAAATGGTTACATTTCATCTGGCTCGGGAGACAATTTAATAATTTGAAATAAACTGGGTTGATCAAAACATGTGAGTGTTTTATGTATTGTTGTTGTTGTTAGTTTTTGTTTATTTGATTAAAGGGTCGATAACTCCGGCCCACAGTCCAACACAGTATGTGGCTGTAATGGTCACCACTCACATGTTAAAAGCTAAAGGGAGCTGTGGCCCAGTGTGCTCTGCGGGGGGAGGGGCCGCGGTCACATGGGTCTATCAAACCTGTGAACAGCTGATCGTGACATCACTCGTCAACATGGCGGACTGGAACAGAGGTATTGTTTGTGACACGTCTTCAGCTCTTCATGTTCAGACATTTAAGTGCTAATTAATGAGTGTCACCGCCGGGTGGAGGAGGTTGTTCGGTGTCAGGGTCCGTAGTTACTTCACTTACAGCCGGACGCGAGTGTGAAGCGGAGCTAGCAGGGTAACTAGCTGAAGAGGTGATCTGTTCAGTGGAGATTAGTGTCGCTGTCCTCTTCAGACACGTCTCAACTAACTATGAACACACGGGTTTAGTTTAGAAACTGATGGTGGTTAAACAGGTTGTGTTTTTCTCCCGCAAGCTAGGGACAAGCTGATATTTAACGTGTGCGCATAGTTACATCTAACGTTAAGAGGATAAAGTTAACGTTTAGTAAATAATGTATGTTAGTGACAAAGTCGGCTTTATTGTTGTGTCTGAATTGTAGAAACCAAAGTCAAGCCCAACCAGTCGTCGTCTGAGGGGATTTTAACTTGAGGGAAACACAATTTGAAGGCAGACAGACTTAAATAACACCACATTGAAACAATACTGTGAGCTCAAAACTTCACTACCAACTCGACTATAACTCGCCTGATTGTGAACATACCTAACGTTACTTTGGTTTGTTATAAACGTGAGAAATGGATACCGACACTGGTTACTAGTTGTAATTAATTCAGTTGCTAGGGGCGGATCTCAACATTGTACTTATAATCGATTTAAAACCTTTAAAATCAGACTCCTCAGTCTCTGTCAGTCTGCTGCTCCTGACTGAGACAACATACACAGATAGATATAGATACATACATACATAACGTTATTTAATTAGTTCAGTTGACGTCTTGTACTGTCAATACTACCGCGAAACTAGGAGCGCTAGAGACCCTGAAGACCCCCGTTAAAACCCTTATGTGTGAGTTTATATTACAATATGGCGACTGCGCAGACGCAGGTCTCATTGAGAGGCGCTGTCGTCGTTCCCGCTGACTGCTAATGCTAGCATTAAAAATTAAATTAAAATATAGCGAACTGTTATCTAACTTAGTTAAATTACAGCTACAAAAGCCTTACAACGTGATAGCAACAGATGTGATTAACGTTTAAATATCTTCCTCGTTTGCTGTTTCACTGAAGGACTGTTGGTCCTGAACCGTTTAAAATCACTGCTAACATATTTTCTTCTAACAATAATATGTTTTTGTTTTACCTAACAATAGATATCGCCCACTGGCACTTGGCCGGTCCTTCTAGGTTATAATCCTCAATTAATATCGAGCTTTCTGTCTGTGCTGGTTAATGGAGGAGAGGCTTTCTTGAATCTTTGTTTTACAGTCAAATTAATTTCCCGCCGAAAGTGTCGATGGCGTCCCAGCAGGACTCCGACGTTAACTCCTTCAGAGAGACACAGTGGCCCCTGTTAGCTGAGCAGTCTACATACTGTCAGAAGATATACCCAGGACTGCAGAGACACATCCACCGTGGTGTGTGTTTGTTAAAGCCCCACACAGCAGAGGACAGGAGCAGCATTCAAACTGTACTCTTAGCACCGTTGTTTTATTAACTTAACCTATATTACAATATGGCGGCCGTTGTGGCGTTGCTAACGTTACCATTAAATCACTGCTCTTGCAAGTGCTAACAGTGAGCTTAAATCGCCTAAAGTAATAAAAAAAAATGCCTTTTCAACATAGCAAACAAAGTTAATCGCAAAGTTATAACTACTAACGCTTTACAACGTGTGAACATGAAGGCAAACAATCTCTTCCTCCTTTTGCTGGCCCTTACAACCCACTCAAGGATTTAAGGATTTACGTTTAAAATCACTGCTCTAACATATATAACGTTAAGTTATATTAGTTCTTAACAATAATACGTTTTTGTAAAGTCACCAAGTTTGGCTTACCTCTAGATGTCGCACTTGGCCAGTCCTTCCAGATTATAATACTCAATTTATGTCCACTGCTGTCTGTGTGTGCTGGTTAATGGAGGAGAGGCTGGTGCATCGTTTGTTTTACAGTCAAATTAATTCCCCGCCGAAAGTGTCGATGATGGAGAGAGAGAGAGAGAGAGGCTGATCCACTGGCTAACACAGCTCTACTGTATTAAAGACACAAATCCACCAATCAGGAACCTCGGCTCACACTTTTTATTTTTTAAACGTTTCCAGTTTGAATTTGATTATTAAAATGTCTGTAAAAACAGTTAAATTGCAGAACAATAGCTTTTAATTTTAAGTATTAATGTCAATTTTAAATGTTTACAACTTTATCGCGACTTTAGCACTAGTCATACAAGAGGTCAAGTTTATGGCTGTAGATTTGATATTATAAGATATGGAGCCCATAAGTTATTTATGTATAAATTTCACATTTGTAAATTAATAGTAGGAATCTAACCACATAACCTATTGAGGAATTAACACAGAAACATAATATCTACAACAGGTGTTAAAGTCAACACTTTAACCGCTGTTTCATTTCTCATCTAACGTGTTGGTGTGTTTCCAGGTCATGGCTCGGTGGACGACATGTTGGATGCTGAAAACAAACGGCTGGCTGAGAACCTGGCCACCAAAGTCTCCAGACTGAAATCCGTGAGTGACAACCACCAATTACTCTCTTCATGTGACACTGATATGAATCAGGAAAGGGGTACACGGATTGTAAATTAGTGATATGGGGCTTTATAAATGCCTTTATGTTCTCTCATCTGTCTGTAGTTTGATACTGAGATGATGGGAAGATTAATTCGATGTCATTAACTAATTTATTTTCTAAAAACTGATAAACTTAAGTGTAAGAACCTGCCATTTTAACTTTTAATCATCTGTCCTGTCTCTGAATCTGACAGCTGGCGTATGACATCGACAGAGAGGCTGATGATCAGAATGACTATCTGGACAACATGGTGAGTGAAGCAATATAAAAGAATACAATTAGCCTTTGTTTTTGTTTTATTTCAGGCCACGTCCTTGGAAAGAGCTGCTTTCTAATTGACTAAGGTCCAGCTGCGGCCTTGCAGACGCTCCTACAAACATGCCCCCTACAAACTACACAGCAATTACCACTATTTGTTAGTGCCCCTCCACTTTGTGACTTTTGGTTTGAGCTGTCTGACAAAAGTCAAGACAATCTAGTTTCTGCATTATTTTTTCACTTATTCACTGGGACATCAGTCTGCAAGTTGCTAGTTTTTAATAAAGAGAGAGAGAGAGAGATGCTGTGAAATCATTGGTTATCAATCAATCCATAATGGTGGTCCCTGAACACAGGGACGCCAAATGTGCTTCATATTAGATTTACTTAACAAAAAGTGCTAGAGAAATTTTAAAAAAGAAGTGAGAGAAAGTCTGAGTCTGTGTGGATTGGTACAATTGATAAAATAGTCTGTCAAAAAGACTTTAAATAAGGCTGCTGGTGATCTACAGACACTTCCACAGGACTCCTCTGGATTTTAACACATCGTTTAAATAAGTGAAGGGACGTTCTAGCTAAAATGGGGTGTAAAATAACAGATCATCTTCTCTTCAGTTTATAAAAGACCCTTCACAATTTTCCTCCCTCTTCCCTTTTACCTTTCAGGACTCAAACTTCATGAGTGCGACAGGTCTGCTGAGCGGCAGCGTGAAACGTTTCTCCACCATGGTCCGATCCGGCAGAGACAACCGCCGCATCCTTTGCTATGTCTCTGTGGGCCTGGTCCTGCTCTTCTTCCTGCTTTACTACATGGTCTCCAGGATTCAACGCTGACTGGAAAAGCGGATCACCAAGGAGCTGGTCCTGATGTGGAGCTCAGGCTGTAGACTCTGACATTATAATCATCTCTGTGATTCTCCTGCACAGGAGACGACTTTTTATACTGCACCAAAGTGACGAAACAAACAGGAAGCAGACAGGAAACAAACAGGAAGCAGACAGAAAGCATTTTGTTGAATTGAATTTGAGTTGAATTGTTGAACTGGGCAGCGGGGAGTGTCGGCCAGCTCAACAGGGGAAATGCTGGTGTTTATAACCTGGACTTCCACACTTTACTTTCCACTTGCCACCGCCTTTGTACCTCCCTGTAATGTGGTCCTACCGTCCCAATATGGTCAAATAGAAGGTGGGGCCTGAATACGGCTCAGGTGGGAGTGTAGCCCACCACAGTTGAGTGTGATAGGCCTATGAACCTGTCAAGACAAACCTGCCCCACAACACGCTTTCATTACAGTGTACACAGTGGCTGTGTCTCCGTTCCAGACTGCACAATAATTTATTTAAAGAATGTGTTGAGTTGTAGCTTGTCTGTTCAAACTGCAGAAGTGAAATTCTCCAAAATATATTCTACAGACTAACGAAATTGAGAGAGAAAAATTTAGAGTGCTGTTTTATGTACGCTCGCATATCAGTGCACAAAGGAAATGAAGGAGTCGTTCCTCCAGAGCCGCAGAAACTCAAATTGAGTTTGATGGCAACATAGCTACAGAAATGTTGAGGTGAAAAATATGAAACCACTGTAAAACATTGTATGAATAAATTAATTGTAATTGGCAGTGTTATTCCAAAGTCAAAGTTTGATTGACATAGAGGTACATATTTTATTATTTTCTGCCGGTATGAAACAGAAAAAAAAAAAAAGAAGTTTAGTATACAAATGGCAAAAACACTGATATATGACAGTTAACATATTATACGCACGGTCTGCCCATTTGTATGTAGTGTGGAATTTGGACCATTTGGACACAGCAGGTGACAATCTGCTGGTGTGAGAAGGAAGTGACGTGGCCACCGGCTGTTTGCTGGTATTCAGTGTGCCAGGTGATATCACTGAGTTTAAGGATTGTCAACCAACTGTTTAATCCTCCTGCCCTTTTCTTTAACATCTGTATATGTTAACAAAAGTTTGTGTTAGCAGGTAGCTTCTGTAAATGTCTAATGAATCTTTATTGACACCGCAGTTCATTGACAGGAGATACCCACACCAAATATTGTAACGTGATTCTGTTTTTCCTGTTCCCTTTTAATAATTCATCTTAAATGTTTAGGCCTGTTCTGTTTATGGTTTACATAGGGCTGTTTTATATCATAACATTTTGTATTTTTTATTCCACATTCAGTCGGTCTGCTCAGCAAATCACGGCTGAGACGGGAGGAGATTAAAGAGGGTTCAAAAGAGTTTCCTTTCTCTATGTGTTTACATTCCAGCTGTCTGGACTGTTAATCAGCCACAGCCAACATTTAATACTATTCTTAATACACATGTAATACATGGTTTTAATTGCTTAATGCTCCTTTTTTACATGATATATTTAGTTTCAGGGCATTATGTGAGGTATGGTAGACATAATTTATGACTGGCACTTTTACAGTCTTCAATAAAAGAGGTGTATATTTTTATTTTCATAATCGTAGTATGACTTTAAGAAAATTATAAAGATTTTATTTTGATAACCATATGAGAATATATTATAATTCAATAAAAGCTCCTACAGGACAGATTTCAATATCACATCAGTGTCATTTTAAATGAAACTGTTAATTGTCCCTATTACCCACATATTGTTGTACCTTAGACACGGCTGTATTTCAGAAATACTGAATTCATGTACCCGTGTCTCACTTCAAATCTTATTATAATTTAGATTTTTTAACGGTCATAGTTGTGTACATTTGATTTCCCAACATAAAGCTCTAACTGCTGTTTCTAACCCCGATTGATTGGGAAGTATAGTATCTCAGACTTTGTCTTAAAGTATAATGAAAGATGAAAAACATATATGGAATTGCCCTTTAAATGTATCACTTTATCTTATTCTTGCTATTATATACTGTTTATATTATTAATATGTATGCCATGTGTACGTTTTAGTTAGAGAATGCAAACTAACCCACATACACATCATGTTGTATTCCCTACTTCCTCTCAGAACTTTTTCACCATGGTATGTTCACTTGAAATCACAGGCAGTGAAACAAATGTTCTTCATCAGAAATAAGTTTATGAGTCAGTTCTGCGGTTCAGTAAATAAAAACAAATATAATCTTCAAACGAATGGAAACACAATGTTGTGTTGATATTATATTGAAAGTGTGATGATTGCCTGTACATAGATGATCAGGCTCCTGTCTGTGTGTAGCTATGGGTATCAGCCACAGTGTGTCGCTTCGGCTCCGCTCGTGTTCTTTCGGCAGTCTCCGCTGCATCTCTTTCCTGACTTCATGAAAAACAAACAGCCGAGCAGCCGTCCTCTCTCCGGATTTGTCCGCCGGGTTCCCTGACGTTTCCTTAAATGTCCTAAATACTCTTGATTTTTACCGGTCATTGTTAGCGGGTCCCGTGTTTGCGGCTCCTCTCCGGCTCGTCCCCGGCTCGTCCCCGGCTCGGCTCCGCTCGGACCCCGCTCTGCTCGTCCACACTCGGCTCTTGTCGTCAGGCGGAAGAATGGACGAGGCGGACTCGGCCACGAAGGCACTCGGGCTGGATGAACCGCCCATCGGCATGCAGCCGGTGGACGGCTCGGATACCGAGTCGGAGGCCGAAGTCACCACGATGGCTGTGATGGGCGAACCGGGAAACATCGACATGGGAGCCGAGTCCCTGCCGAACCCAGACGAGGCCGAGGCTGCATTTGCAGGCAAGGCGGGCTTTAGCTAGCAGCAGGCCGGGGTGGCGCTAAAACACAAAGTGTGATGATAATGATGCTAGTGCCTGTAGCTTCACTCAGTGTCAACACGAGGAGGACGCAGACGCCTGGTTCATGTGTCTGATCGATTACAGTGCATCAGGAAGGATTCACACACATAACTGCACAGCCTTTCAAGAAGCACAACAACCATGGTGGTTGCTACATAGCAGTAATACTGCTGTTGCCAGACTCCGTTCAGTTATGGTGCAGTTTAAAGCTATTTATCCTACCGATAGCACATACCGCACAGATGTTACACCGCGTATATTCAGTTTACTAAGTGAGCGCATGTCTCCATATTCGGCTCTGACAGACATCATTAAGCCCCTATGCAACCTTAAAATTACAACTCATAGAGTTGGTTTCCACTGCTGGCCCACTGCCCACCACAGTGTGTTAACTGGTGGGTGAGTATAGTTGACTGGATAGGATTAACCGTGTGTAAAGTCTATGTTTTACTGACATCACACATTTATTTTAATGTAGTGTGATGAGAAATGCTAATAATGTAACATTCATATCTTAGGAAAATAAATTCTGCTTTAGATTTCTCCCACTGCCACATTGATGTCTGAAATATTGATCAGCTCAATAGGCATTCATTGTAACTTCCATCACTATGCAGTCTACTGACAGTGACATCAGCTAAAATGTTTGATTAGTGATTTTCCTTACTTTAACATATTTTGGCATATATGTTATTACATAAGGTCTTCTGATTCTGATATTTATCGTTTTCCATATTGCCCTGTGTAGCACTACATGCTGTTATAACACTGGGGTTTGGATATTTTATCTTTACATTACTGGATTACTGTAGTAGCTATAATGCAGTGGACCTACTGAAGATGTATGTGATTATAAAATATTTGTATTTCTTGACTTCGAACAGAGGTGACGGCTGTGACGGTGGCAGACGTTCAAGCGGAGGACAATGTCTTTACCACAACGGTTGCCACATCAGGAAGTCTCCCTGAACACATGCTGGTAGATAGACAACACACACTGATGGTCACGCTACTGCACATGCTCAGTGTCACCCTGTATGAACAGTCTGCTGATTTGTTCTCTTGGTTAAACTCTGGAAACTTGACTGGTGCAAATTAATATCGGTAACAAGTGAAACTGAACTCGTAATTTCTAAAAGCACACTTGTTAATTGAAGGCACCATTAAAGTGATAAACTGTATAAAATAACTACCTGACCGTTTAAAAGAGAGTGAGAGATTCACCACTTTCCGATAAATGGTACTCATATTGTCAAATGAACAGCGAGGAGGACCAGCGTGCACCTGTGTATGGTTGTGGTTTAGTTCCATCAGAAATGGTACTGACACACTGCTGTTAAAGCTTAAATTGAAACAGTGCACACTGCCATCTGCTGGTAAAACAATGTGTTTGCATCTGAATCTTTCTCAGCCACAGACGTTCAGATGTAGCAGTTTGAAAACGTGTGTACATTAATTACTCTTAGTATTTTGTATTAGCAATCAGTAATTTGTATCCTCAAATGACTCATGTCTCTTGTGCATAATTGGTGTTCCCAAGAGCTGCAGGTGCTGATCTGCTGATTTAGAGAACTTGCAACTTATTTCTTTCAGTTTGATTTCACTCCTTAGTAATGGTGGTTGAGAGCATTTGTTTAGCTCTTAAAGGTCCCAAAATGTGTTCAACCTCTTAATGGAAACCTAGAAAAACCCCTAAAGGCCCTCTGGAACCTCACTGGGCTCTCTGTGCTACCAGTTCTAGTAAGCTGAGCCTGCTTATATCGGCACCATCTTTGTAGGTGTAGATAAACACTGTTTGTGTGTGTGTGTGNNTGAAGACAAACAGACTGAAGGAGAGGCCCCCTATCGACTGGGACTGACCTATCAGAGTGCAGGAGACCTAGAGTACCTGAGTGTGTGTGTGTGGTGTGTGTGTGTCACACAGAGTGGAAGGACTACCCTCCAGCTGAGTGAAGGTCTTAGTACCCAGAAGGCCACTTTGATTGTGGTTCACACTGACGGCAGCATTGTGGAGGCTGGCCTCAAGTCTGCTGCTGCCATCGCATCAGGTACGTGTGTGTGTGTGTGTGTGTTAATGTCTCTGGGGTGTCCATATTGAACAAATTAGATCGTTGACTGACTATTTGATTTTATTGGTTCTTCTAAACTGGTTTAAATTCCAACTGAAACGTTGTCATAGCAACAAGTCCTCAAGCCTAGACCTACTAAAACTGCAGACTTATCAACTGTTAGCTAGATCATGACCAAGGCTTTTTGCTTGTTTCGTCCTCCTGTGCATCCCTCAGGCCCACAGACTCCGCCCACCCCTTTGACTCCACCCCAAGAGAAAGACTCGTGTTCCAAGTACAACTGGGACCCCTCGGTCTACAACAACGAGCTGCCGGTCCGCTGCAGGAACACTAGTGGAGTCCTCTACAAGAGCCGACTGGGATCAGGTGATCAACACAAAGTCACCATGCCCGATTTCAATGAATTAAATGAATATAATAGTTTTCATTTTCTTGCTTTAATCCCTGTATTATAAGTGTCTGACAGCATTACTTAAAGGATCCCTACAGAGATAGACCTTTTTGTTAATGCGTAAGATCATTTTTGTTTAACCAGAAACAGCTCTCACTCACCACCAGACTCAACACAGATCCTCGTAAAACACACTTCATTTGAACAACATAATAAAACTCACCAAAACCGTCTTTGTTATTCTTTTCCTTGTCCCAACAACCACCAACTCACCGATGTAGATGAGAAAAGAAACAGCCCCTATATCACTCTGCTCAAAGCCAACAGTTTCACTGGCAGAGAAACCAAGCACAGAGAAGCTCAGTTACAACACACACAGAGCGAGTGTAACGTCAGGTCACCACAACTCCGCTATCTCTTTACATAGCAGTTGCTGCTATATTAATGTTTTAAATCTCACACGGTACAGTGTAAAGTTTGAGAACCGTTGGCCTAAGAGAACATGAATCAGACCGTTAATGTAATTACCCACTTCACTACTCTATCGTACTGCGTTCTTTGAGTAATTTGTCTTGTTATCACCCACACTGACAGTGTTGTGTTGTGTTCAGGTGGTAAAGGTCGCTGCATCAGACACAACCAGCAGTGGTACACTCCCACTGAGTTTGAAGGTCTGGCAGGAAGAGCGAGCAGCAAAGACTGGAAGAGGAGTATCAGATACGCTGGCAGACCTCTGCTCTGCCTCATACAGGTACCTCTGCAATATTTCTGTCTATCTACACTGTCCTAATGCTGTACTATTTTACCACACTTAGTACTACATAAAGAACTTCTTCAATCTGCATGCAGATCAACTCATTATGACCAAAAGGTCAAGTTTAACCGTGTGTGTGTGTGTCTGTGTGTGCGTAGGAGCGTATCCTGAACCCCCACGCGGCGTCCTGTACCTGTGCAGCCTGTTGTGATGACCTGACAGGAGTAAGTCAGCAGGACTGGTCCTGGTCCTGGACAACCTGCAGGTCCAGGGAAGAGTTTAGCTCAGGAAGCAGAGTCAAGGAAGAAGATCGTGTTTTTTCAGTGAGCTAACAAGTGATGAAATAAGTCATAAGTTAGTTAGTTGATTAGTTATTAGTGAGAGTGTTGGTCATTTCTTGTTAAATATTCAAACATGTTCTGCTCAGTGTTTCCAGATTGGGTTTTCCACCCAGTTGGGCTGTTTTTGAAACTCGATTGAAGCTTTCAGCTAAATAAAAGTTGTAAGTCACATTATAATCGATTAATAGTGGATTGGCAGTCTGCGGTCTGAGTTCAATAGACTCGACACAGAGTGACCCATAATAACTGGTGGCCGACAAGTGTAATTTCATCACAAATAACACAAATAGAGTTCAAATTACAATTTGGTGACAAAGTCATAGCTGTGTGTTAAAGCCTCATTTGTTCATGACTTTTTCTGTTTAAAAGGAGATAGTTTTCATTATTGTAATTTTGGGCTTCTAAAGAAGACTGAAGGTGCATCTTAACCAAATGCTTTATTTTATTCTTAGACTCAGTCACAGAACAATAGGAAAGCCCCTGATGATTATTACATAATAATAATATAATTCTATAATTTTCTACACTGTTTCTGGGAGCAGTTTCTATGACCTGATCTCTTGATCTGTTTGAACCTGTTTGTGTTGTCAGACTGAACGAACGGGTTGAAGAATCACTTTGGAAACATAAGACTGATGTTTGCCGTCATTTCAATCAACTAAAGGGTTAATTGATCAGTTAAAAGCATGGTTGTTATTCCGAAACATCTGATCAGTGGACAGCAGGCAGATCGAGTTTGTGTTTGTCTTATTCTCCTGTTCTTCTCCTCTCTCTTCAGTGTCCAAAGGAAACAGACTCCATGGCCGCTGAAAACATCAGTATGGTAAATGTAATCTTTATTTCTGTAACTGAGACCTCATAATCCCAACCTGTTTTTCGACTGCTCTGTATTTGGATTCATTACCTGAATAATAGGCTTTGTCTTTATCTCAGGTTGCATTGTAATGAAATTTCAATATGCCAATTAGGTATGGATTACTGATAGACTGAAACATCAGGGGTCAGTTTCAGGAGATATCTTAGACTGGTCTGTAGCGTTAGGTCAGTCTTGATTTTGATTTAGATTAGTCCGATAAATTATTTAAATTAATTAGTTTCACAAAAATAAGACTACCTCAGATGATCAGAATGACAAACTGCTTTAATCTGCTCACCTTGCTTTTCCCTTCTTCCTGTTCTCTCTTACACACACCTACACCTCTGGTCACTTCCTGCACACACACTTCCTTGCTCCACCTCTTTCTGATTCTCTCTCCAGGTGTGTGTTTGCTCCGTTAATCTTTTTTATGTCAGCAGAATGTTTTATAAAGCTGCCTAAAGTCCCGCCCCTTTTTGCGCTGTGCTCCAATAAGAGTTGAGCAAGCCTCAGTCAACTTTCTCCTTTCCTGTACTTAAATATGCTATGTGCTAGGCTTGTCTATATTGAAAAGGCAACTATAGTCACATCGTGTTTTTGTATTCTTTGATCAGAGTTAGTTTCTGGTTGAAATCGTTTCACCAGTATTAGACAAATGTCTTGTATGGCTGCTTGTGTTTAGGCAACATATTTGGCGTTATCACTGTTGTTGGACGTTGTGTTGATTTCCTCGCTCTCTCCGTCTCCTATCTGCAGACTGGTCCAGTCCGCCTCTTCGTCCCATACAAGAGACGGAAGAAGGATAATGAGCCTCCGATCACCCCTCCCAAAAAGGAACTTCCAGCCACCAAAAACATCACACTGGCCCCGGGCACAACATGTACGTCAGGTGACCTCAGTCTGATGTGTGACTGGAGGAGGATGGAGCCTCAGTGTTACACAGCATGACGGGAAAAGATAGTTTGTGTTTGTTAAATCCGTTGAAAATAACCCTAAATTGCCCCTGAATTCAATACAATATTGAATTATTTAAATTAATAAAATAGTGATGAATAATTGCCTGTTAAGTAGTTGGTGGTCTTCTGAATAAGACATGAAAGGTGATTGGAAGTTACTGAGTTTCCATCAGGTCTGTGGTGTGAACATTTAAACTTTGACCTCAGAAGTTACTGACCGTCCAAACACTTCTGTCCTCCCAACAGTCACGGTGTCTCCGTCAGGACAGTTCACCACCTCTGGTACCTTGACCTTTGACCGGACTCAAGCAGGCGACGCCACCGCCGCTGCCGCTGCTGCCATCATTTCAGAAGGCTCAGCGCAGAGCGAAGTGTTCGCCAGCACAGCAGGTACCATCATCACTGTGATTGTCCATCATCTGTACTACACTGGTGTATTGTGAGCTGTATCTGAGTGTCAGACATGGATGTGTCTCCAGGAGTGAATATGAAGCAGATTAGGTTTCCCTGTCCATTTTAAGAGCTTTAGGACAAGAAATAGGAGCTCAGGACGTCATAATAACCTCAAACAACGCTTGCAAGATAGTTTCCTTGAAATGTTGAGATCCTGTTCTTGTAAATATAATAAGATGGTTTCTTCATAATAATCTTTTCTCTTCATTACAAGATAGTAAGTCATTACAAAAAACAAAAAAAGCAACATGAACTCTTTCAATGTACATATTGTACAACAGTATTATTTTAAAGGTGCACTATGTAAATCACTTTGTCAGAGACTTTCTTGCCCATAACACATTTCTGGGAAAATCCAAAGGATGTGACACTTTTGAGTGCCTTCTCTTCCGCTCCCCTACAGTGTCAACAGTGTACAACACTAGCGAACATTATCTTACAAGCCTGCTAACGTCTACAAATGACTGACACCCAACACGACACAGTTTCCAAAGTCAAAGCTAACATTACTGCAAACCATGTGAAATATATTATGATATTGCGGGTTTAGCTGGCTAATGTTAGCTAATGTTAGCTTGCTTGCTAACGTGAAATTGCTAGCTAGCCAACATAGCAAAATATTGTCTTGAGTGGATAACGTCAGCTAATTGATCCAGACTCCCTGGGCTGGTGAATTGGCTGGCTTGCCCAGCTTAATGAAGCAACCAACGCCAGACCCGTGCAGCACGGCCGGCTTGCTCGCTAACGTTAGCGCTTTGTTCATTGTCTATCGTGCCAAAATACTCCCCAGCTGAGTAGAAGTGATCAGTGATACTAACTTATGTGTCATGACAGTGTTTTTAGCCAACAATAGATGATGTAACGGGACAGAGCAACGGTGTATAACTAACGATTGCTTTCTACTGGCCAAGAGTGATGCAAGCATTGGGCAACATTGAGCTCTTTAGTACAGTAGCAAAGTATCTCTCTGTTTCCTCTGAATGTTTTGCCTTCCTCCGGTCGTCCAGGATTTTTAATGTGAATGCCCTGCATCGCTACTGACCTGTAGCCTATCCATCATCCTATCCGGTGTCAGGGAAGCACCCCAGCTCCTTTCTGATTGGCTGTCATGCTGCTGTAATGAGCTCTCAAGAGAGTCCAGCGCCGTAGGTGTGAGCGCTGTGTGATTAATTTCTCTGTCCGATCCTAACCTACTCTTTAAAGGACCAATCAGAGATCTCCTGTAGCTCCTCACTCCTCCTAATACAGGGACTAACACTGAACGGCTAAATCAGAGTTATTAATGTTTCTGAGGCTAATATTTCCCCTTATGATCAGCTGGAAAACACACAAACTGATGAAAGTACATGTAACTTAAATGGGAAAAACCATTACTGATTGGATCACTACTACTATCACCGGGACTCTTCGGATTGGCTGGAAGGCTGCTGATGTCTCCATCTCACTTCTAGGAAATATGTACACACACAGCAGTGATCCAGCTGTCAGTACTGTCTCTCTGTCCTTCACCCTGAGGTTAATGAAGCACCCTGGGCCTGTGTGTGTGTGAGTGTGTGTGTGTGTGTGTGTGTAGTTAAGTCAATTGGTATGCACAGATATTCATATTCAAACTAAATCAGTCTTGAATCCACTTTGGTCTAGAACTGATTTTGACAGTTTTTCTCTCAAATGAGGTATAAAGGTGGAGCTTGGATGAAGAGGAGAAACTGATTTTAAAATGAACGAATGATGAAGCTGTCTGGTCTGATTTATTTTTATCTTGAGCTGGGGAACAGTAGAGGGCAGTGAAGTCTCTGCTGCAAATCAAACACAGTCCAGAGAATTAAAGCCAGAAGCTGTTTGGACAGATGAGACACTTCGATTCAGGACAGAAACACACAGCACAGAAACAACTGCATACATTCTTTATACAACCTGATATAATGAGAAACTGATTGACTTAAATAAAAGTGTAAGCGCTGTTTTCATATTACCTGCACTTTACAAACACAGTGGGAACTTTTTGGGGGAAGAAAAAGAAATCATAATAAAGGCAGTGTAATGAAATAAATATCTGAATAGTCTCTGTAGTATTAATGCACCCTAATTAAATCATGTTTAGTTTCTTTGATAGAGACCTGATACTTAATAATATAATGTATTTGAATCTTTACAGCAAACTGCTCGGTGCTTTACTGTGTTATCTTTGCCTAATGTTCGATCCTAGCACCGTTTTAAGACAATATTAACAAAAAATAAGAATATATTGTGCAAAAAAGTTGCAAATACTCTTTTGAAGTATTCTTTTCGTCCCTGGGTAGTAGTAGTAGTACTCACCTTTTCAGCCCTGTAAACGGTACTTCTTTGTCCCCCAAACTCCACCAGGAAGTGAGGACAGCCGCTATTTATAAACCCAGTGCTGTACTAACTGTAAACTTTTGCTTTTTAATCATAATTCTACCAAATGACATAACTCTTTCCAGAAAGTGAAAGATTTACCAGTCACACAGCAATTTCTACTTCTAGAAAATTACTGGGAAATTTTCCCAAAGAACAGAAGAAAAATAAGAGTTGGGTAAAAGTGAACTGAAAGTTGAACCCATGACATCAACTGATGACATCAACACACCTCCATTTACCTGCGAGAACACGCACGCCTTTCCCCCAGGACATGTTATATCAGAGTCTGAGATGGATGTGCAGTTATTTTTGGACTCGTCTGTTCTCAGCGGAGCCCCAAGCTGTCAGTGTACCACCACAGGAATACAAACAGACATTACAGCACGTATGTAGGTCAGCATTGAATGTATGGAGGATGCACAGACACACCTGCTCCGTTTGAGTCTACATACTTCTACAACTTCTACGTTAAATATTTGAAGGGCTGATGTAAACCTCAGAAAGTGTCACAGCAGGCGTCCAGTCGCTTTAGCTGTCAACAGACCGTAAACTGCTGCCGCTCACACTCCAGCAGCCCCGCCTTCAAGTTCTGTAGTACTGTCAGATACAATATTTGAATCTACATTAAAGTTTCAGTTTTAAATAAATATTTCAATAATAAACTCCAGCTTTAAGCAAATATTTCTTCATCAAGAGACATTTATAAACAAAATGGCTCACAAATATCTTGATAATGAAAGATGTGTCCCTATTAATGTTGTGTATTATGGTGTCTTTCTTCACTACTGTTGTCTTCAAGCAGCAGCAGTTTGTTGGTGTGGTGTATTATGGTTTCTTTGTAGGTTCACACACAGGTCATACTGTTTCTAAAGCGTCCTGGTGGCCAAGGAGTTTAAGACCATGTAATCTTCGTGTCTCTAGTTTAAATCAGAGGAAATGAGAGGAGAATGAAGACTTGGAACAAAAGCACCTGGTTTTTGCAAGTTTCTGTAGTGGCCCCTTTAATATTTGTTCTTAAGGTGTACTGAAGCAGATGCCATGACATAGTTAAGCTACAGTTTGATGTTAGAAATACAGTTGCAAGAACAAAACTTTCCACTCATATCTCAAGATATTTGATTGTAAATAGAATTATAACTATTCTCATACTCTTTTAATTCCTCTTGCCCTTTCCTTTGTTTCTATTATTTTCTATGACACACTCTGCATGTGTGCTCTCTCTCCCATGCGTCTCGGCACATGGAGGCAGAAGCACCGCAAATCTAGGAAGACATCATGAGGTTATAAAGATCAGCTGTACATATGATTAGAAAAGAGCAGAGGAGCATAATCGCTTGTTGTACCAGCGCAATGGAAAATATAATGCCGCTTGGTCAACAAGGCTGATTACGCTTGTCCTCACCTGCAAGGGCCAATGGGGAACTCCAATACTCAACTGGACCAATGGTGTACCTTCACTCACACTCAGTAATTCACTCCAGCCAAAGATGAATAATAAATCCTCCCTCTTCCTCTCTCTCAGTGCTGACGGCGTTGCCGGCACTGGCCATGGCTCCTCAGCCGGTTCAGGCCAAGATGACGGTGGCGACTGCGGCGTCCCCGTCAGCAGGGCTGGTGAGCGGGCTCGAAGTGGGGCCCGTTGGAGGGGCGGGGCCATCGGTCAGCGAGGGGCAGAAGAACACCTGGCTGTACCTGGAGGAGCTGGCCAACACACTGCTGAGCAACGTCCAGCAGCTGAAGGCTCTGATCGAACAGGCCAAAAACTCTCCAGGGGACATGGCAGGGATCAAAGGTCAGGGAGGCAGGAAGGAGGTGAGAAGACACACTAACACACACCGACATACATAATCTCAGATTCAGATCAGTAACCAGACGCATGGAAATTAAAAATGTATTACTGATAATATATTACTTTATTACTGAGTCACTGACTGTGTGTGTGTGTGTGTGTGTGTGTGTGTATGTGTGCGCGCATGCAGTGTGGACTCAGTCAGTCATTTCAGAACCAGAACTTGTTTCATCAGCCGGACGACTCAGAGGCCAAGAGGAGCACTGAAATCACAGAGATCATCATCAATGTAAGACACACACACACACCTTACAAACTTCTTGAAAGTCTTGAAAATTCCTTACTTTTTGTGAAAAGTAAACCCTAATGCAATACTCCAACACGATCTCTGAAAATCACATCTCAGCCCGTATGGTTGCTTTATATCTGTGCGTGTGCCATCCGACGACTGAAAATACCTGATGCAGATATTGAGATACTGTATGTGACGGGGACATATTTAAGCTGAAATAGTGATATTCACTCTGCAGTGACCTCTATATATGCACATGGAATATAGCACAAAAACATTTCAGACATTTGAAACAATCTAATTCACCTGAGGCTGTACTACGAAAGGAGCTGAACACACATATCTACACTCAAGGAAAGTCTGGTACTATGGTACTATGACAGTGATTAAGATGTTAGTGAGTTAGTTTATATTACAACAGTAAATTTCCAAGATTAAAGTGGTAAATTAATGAAATCTCAGAAATTGACCAATTAATTAACAGGGATTAAAGCAAGAAAGTTATCTGGGAAGAAATGTGTACAATGCATTGAATTAAGTATTATATGAGTTTAAAACTGCTCCATGCCTGAAATCAGACATGGTGCCTGATATTTTTAAGTCCTGAATTAAAATTTACTCCCTAAAGCACTGAGGCTGAAGGTCTACCTGTGTGAATGTAGTGCTACTGTTAGAATAAGAGTACAGTCAGTCGCACCAATCTGGATTCCTCTGGAAATTAAGTGTTCTGTATATAGGCCTATTCTATGTATTCCTATATTGTGAATTACTAGCGACTGCATAAAAAGCCTCTTTGTTCTTTATAACGATTAAATGGGAACTTAAATGCATTCTGGTTTTAGGAGCTGGCATAGATACTGAACTCCCTCAGACCAATCAATATCTTTTATAGAGAACATCATCGGGGTAAACTACAGGATTTGTCTCTTAACACCCAGCCCTCTGTCCTACTCTCATGTGTTCATATGCGTTCTCCTGTTCTGGTTCTGCAGCAGATGTGTGTGAACTGTGGGCGGGTGGCGATGAGTGAGTGTACAGGCTGTCACAAGGTCAACTACTGCTCCACGTTCTGTCAGAGGAAGGTAAGACCCACCTGAACGATCCTCTGGAGTAAAACTTCTTTAGAGTTGACCACTTTCTTTTCACAAAGAAAGCCTCAGTAAAAATATCTTATACAACAGTGTTCTGGCCATGATAGCCGTAACAGTGCTGCAAAAAATATCGGTTCCTCTATAGACTGCATGTGTCACAAAATTAACTCCTCATAAGTCTTCTTCAAAACAGTGTCTTTTACTAAGCACATTGTTGTCAAACACTGTTTTTCCTTCTTTGAGATGCTTATAAATCAGCAGTTATGGACACCTTATCGGGATGACAGTAAAGAGAAATGTATGCATATAAACGATCTGTAAGTCAGATTAGTTTGTTTTTTCCCTGCAGGACTGGAAGGATCATCAGCACACCTGCTGTCAGTCAGCAGGGGGCGTGGCTGTTCAGGAGGAGCCAATCACAGCCATGGACATGGACAAAGTGAAATGAGGTGTAACCCGCAATGTTCATGAAAACATGAGCAGAGAGGTCATGTGACAGGAAGCTCTCATGTGGGCAAAGAGGAGACTTTTCTGAACATATCTGTGCTGAAGACTTTAAATCTCCCTTCTGGAACTTTTATTGTGAAAGTTCCTCCTCAGACGACATGAAAAGGAGCTCTCTGATCTTCTGGGAGCCGAGCTTGTTGTATAAAAACTGCAATGACTTGGAAGTCGGGTGTGTTCCCCATTCACTTCAATATGGTCAGAATTTGTTCACAGCAGTCTCTGGTGGACATTAGAGGAACTGCAGCACTTCATCACACTTCATCACACACTGCACATGAAGGTGATCTGAACTCAATTAATATTTCAGTAAAGGTCAAAGCATTAATTTACCACCAGCATAACATGTTTCATAAAGTAAGGTAAGATGGTAAAAAGGGTTAGGGCTGGAACTAACTATTATTTTCATTATCGATTAATCTGGCAATTATTTTCTCAATTAATTTACTTAATTATTTTATTATTATTATTATTCTTATCTTCGCTCAGTGACTGTTATCTCTCTGTTGTTTTACGAAACATTGTTTTTGCTGCCCTTTTAACTGTTGTTAAGCAGATTTAAATCTCCAGAGACCGTCCTGGATAAATAAAGGTCCAACACATCAATAAAATAAAAAATGTTATTAAATTAACCCCTCCCAACCCCGTCCAATACTTAGAGATGCATTATCTGTCGTCTATTAATGGTATTGTTGCATTTATTTTTTCTTCCAGCTAAAACAGGGGTCAGCAACTTTTATTATCAAAAGAGCCATTTCTGAGTCCACCCAAAAACATAAAACATCTGTCTAGAGCCGCAAAACATATTTGAGCCTTATAATGCTAATTCCTCGCCACAGAGCAAGCGTACCGGTCAGCCAGCAGCGTTGGTGAACGCAAATGAATCGCTCAACACGCTATTAAACTCTTTATTTTCCTTCAAGACTTTTCTTGTTTTGGATTTGGAGTCAATAACTAGCCTAGTTAGGGAGACACTGCTACTGAGGTTCAGCAAAATATAGAGGAAAAGGCGCATGGTCAGGATGAAATGTATGACCACATTTTAGCTGATGAACATTTATTTATTCGGTGTGTAATTGCTACACATTTTTACAATTGGAGAATGTTAGAATGAATTTGAGCCTTAAACAATGAAAATAAATAACAAGGAGCCACTGGAGAGGGCCTCTGGGGCTAAAACAATTGTTTTTATTTTCACAGTATGTGGAAGTTTCAGTTTAAGTCTGTTTTATTATCTTGTGTACAAGATTAAATCTTCATCTCTCAGGATTTTGAAGCTTTGTAGTTTTCTGTTTGTACTTGTGATTCAAACTCAGAAGTTCAGAAAGACAGAAACTAAGAACTCGTAGCAGTCGTGTGTGTCAGTCCAGATCTGTCCGTATTAAATCATTAAATGAGCCTGAAATGTAATTTTCCATAAGTGTGCTCAGTGCATGATGTATGGATACCCTGCCAGAAAGCAGACAGGTGTATTTCACCCGATCAGATCATGTGTCTGACCCAGTGAATTTGACATTCGACTTTTGACAGAATTTAGGTGGAAGTCAGGAAAAACATTTCTGTTTCACAGAAAAGAACCAAATTCAGGACTGAATTGACATTTTAAGGCCCAGTTACTTTTTATATTTTTAATGAATTGACTTTTTTTTTCAAATCAAATTTTAATTTGAACAAATTTTCCTCCCAGCAACCCTGAACAAAATCACTAACAGATTATAAAATAATAAAAAAACACTGACAGTTTTCTGAGGCACTTTTGAGGATCATAAATCAGCTTTTATTCTGATCTATAATCAAAACTTCTTTATTTTCCTCTGACTCTGTTCAGGATGTCTTTTCTTCCATCAGCAGGACGGAAGAGACTTCTGTCCCTCTGTCTTCATTCATCTCCTCAGATGTTTATTTAATAAGTTAATTTATTAATGAAATACAAATTCCAGGTTTATTTTTATCCAACTAAAGTCTCCAGAGGGCAAACTCAGCGTCATTCCTCCTGCAGGACTCAGATTTGTGCGTTCTGTTTCACATTTAGTTTTTATATTTAGTTATTCCGTGTTTAGCAGCTAAAGACAGAGTTTAGTTAAATAATATTTCTGGCGGTCAGCAGTCAGGTGATCTGTCGGAGCGGCCCTTGATGAATCGCCTCAGACATGATGACATTTGATTCTGCTGTGTCTCAGTCCCAGCGGCGCTCAGGTGTCTGCTGCTGCTCACTGACAGTGAAAGGGACCCCCCCAGGACCAGACATTTCCTGCTTTAACAGCCAACTGTAAATGTAGGAAAACTTGAACAGGGGAAACTGCAGTCTCTTCGAACGTCTCCACAATTTTTTTTTCTGACTTTTAAAACAATAGTCAAGTGCTCATGTGAACATGTTCATACTGAAAGTGAATAAATCGCTTCCTTAAGCACTTCCTATGTAAATGATGGGGCACAAAATCCAAATACATTCAGAAGTTTACTTTAAGTTAATACAAGGCTTTAGTGGTCTGTTTACCAAGCTTGATTACAGGCTTGTGTTTTAAGCCAGATTTGTACTTCTGCACCAAATTAGACACGTTACCGAGACGCTGACAACTGGGATCGGTCCACTTGGTGTGCATTTTGCCTGAGAATGGGAGGCTATCCCAGATGGGTCAACAATGTTGTTTGATGATCCCTCTTGAAACACACGCATACACAAACAGGCACAGGTGGGACACTGCCTCGCTGCGTTACATGCTCGTCTGTCACCTCGTATTCCCTCATCTGTTCTTTTCACGTGGGGTGAGGGGGGGACTAGGAAACTAGGACTAGGAAAATGCATGACAGATTGAGGAGAGACACAAGGGAGAGTTTAAGTTTAGTCTGCCATTGTTTGAAGTACACTCCAGCACACAAGTATAAATGCTCACAACGTCAGAGCCTACGTACAACTATAAATCAACCTTATCTATGGCTATACACTGCCAAATTACAGGCCGCATTCTCAGTCCTGTACCTGAATGCATCCTGTGCAGGAACAGATGGAGGCCTGAAGCAGCTGCTGGTCTGCTCACATGCTGAGTAGACACTGTGTTGGACAACTCAAGTGAGTGTTTTTCAAAGTTAGTTACTTTTTTATATAAAGTGTCATTCAAGTGTTATTTAAGTATCTGGCCATCTTGTACATATTCTTTCACTCTTTACATTTGTATATAGCGGGAGCCGCTATATATTCTTATTGTCTCTATTTCTTATTTTATCTTTATTTATAATTTTCTACACTTGAATGTGATTCTTATGCACCAATGATTCATGGCAAATTCATTGTATGTGAAAGCTTTTTTTCCCAAATAAACCTGATTCAGTTCAAATGAACATTGGAATACACATGTACAGAATGAGGACTGTGGATTTTATCCCCCATCTCTTTAATTGGAAGCATGTTAGTAAAGGATCTCTTTCTCAGAGCTCTCTTTCCTTAAGCTGCAGATTGAATCATCTGCAACATTAGCGAGACGAAAGAGCTGATTGTGAACTAAGCCTCCCCTGACTTCTGTACCCAACCGGGGGGAGAAAGTCGAGGTGGTTCACACCTACTAATAGTTGTGCAACTGGACGACAGACTAGAGTGGGCTGGGAACAAAGGGGCCCTCTACAAGAAGGGCCAGAGCCGGCTGTACTTCCTGTGGAGGCTTTAATGTCTGGAACAAGATGCTGTACCAGTCTATGTTTTATGCTGCCTTGTGCTGGGGCCGGAGCGTGAGGGCGAGAGATTCTGCTGAGCTCAAAGGCCGGCTCAGTGATTGGAGGAGGAGGTAATGGAAAAGAGGATGCTGTCCAAGTTGGTCACCATCTTTAACAACGTGGCTGCACTAATCTTTATACCGTGTTGTTTGTTGGTGTACTGCTGCTATGACATTCAAATTCCCCCCACAGTAATTAAAGTTCTTTCTTTCTTTCTTAACGGCCAGTATGAACAGGAGGGATTCATCCACCTCTACAGAGGGCGGGACCAGGAGTTCTCAGATAATCTGAAAGAAACACCAGAGGCATCAGGAGTGGGATGTACTCTGTGTTTGTGTGTGTGTCTGTGTTGTCTGTCCTTAGAGATTTCAGCTCTTTTGACTGATGAAATCTGCTGAGAAGCTTTAAAAGCTTCACGTCAGTTTGTTGTCTCTTACTTATCATCATCAAACTTTAATGACCTTCAAATGACATTGTGGAAGTCCAAATTGTGCAGGGAGCCTACATAATCTGGACTCTGCTGAGCAGTTAAAGACCATCACTAACTGAAGACGCTTTTGTTCTCTGAGTTTATCCTTCAGACAGCACTTCTTCTCCCCAGGTTTGAGACTGTCAATGGGCTGTACACATTTTGCCTGGGAGGAGGCCTTGTCTTAAAGTCTAAATTCAGGGAATAAAAATCCCGCGTTCAGCATACTCCACAGGTTATATGAAAGATCATAACATGATTGGCTGCAGCCTTACTAGGACAGACACTGACATGTATATTTGGGATATACAGCACCATTGCATATAAGTACCATTTTGGTTGATTTGACCTCAAACAGAAGTTTCTGAAATTCCAACTGACCTAATATTTAAAATCAGCTACAGACCACAGTGGTCTGCATTGCTCCACAAACACACAACTCCTTTTTAGTGAAAACATTTATTCTGAAAAGATGATTTTCAACTTATAAAATCAGTTCTTGTTGGTTGTGTGATGTAGACGTGTTGCTGATCCTCTGAACAGTTTGTTCCTCAGACTGAAGCTTCTTCACAGGAAACATGAAGCTCAAACAAACTTTGCTGTCGGCACATGTAGAAAAATAAAACCTCACAGAGGAAGGAAGCAATGGCAACATACTGTACACGAACTACAGACACTAAACCAACAGACAGTAGCGTCTCTTTCAGCTGTTGTGCATTTAAATTGTCCATTCAGCAGCAGTGTCCTTATCGGGCGCTCTTAGAGCAGCAGCGCTGCAGGAACTTTTTGAAGAAGTTTCTGAACTCAGTGTTGAAGACAGTGTAAATGATGGGGTTGAGAGCGCTGTTGACGTAGCCAAGCCACGTCACCACGCTCATCAGGGCCGGTGGGACATGGCAGTCCTGACAGCGAGCTCGCATGGTGTGGAGGACAAAGAAGGGAGTCCAGCAGAACAGGAAGGCACCTGCAGAAAGAGAAGAATCAAAAGAGTTTATCTAGAGAAAGACAGAAACACCAAGAACCTCACTTTGATTTTACCTGCATTTAGGTAAACCCTCTTCTACCCAGAGTCAGATGTTTCAGTTTCATCTCTGTGCGACCAGTACAGAGGTGCTCCAGGGCATGTTTAGCCTAACTTAGTACAAAGATAAGAAGCAAGGGGAAACTGTTACTCTCCATCAAAAAGAAAAATATCCAAGGAAAATCTGTGTGACATCTTCTGTTCACTCTAACTCTTGAGATAATCTTTTACTGGACCAGAGGAGAATCCCAAAACATTTCCCTCAGGTTGGGCTGAACACCTACATATTTTTATATTACCATCTTGCCTACCAACCTACAAACCTATACCAGTCTGACCATTCGGCTCTACTCTTGGGCTCAGGTGTTAAAGCGGGTCATCTAGTAATATAATCCCTTGTTTATTCCAGTCAAAGTGTCCCTGGCAAGATATTTCTCCTGATGGTGTTTAGTAAGTGTGAGTGTGTGTATGGGTGAGCTTAGTATCATTGTGAGCGCTTTGGATAGGAAGTGCTGTATTGCCCTTGATGAGCACGTTGGTGTGGTAGGAATTTGTGTGGGTGAATGTTATAACTGCTTAGGAGACCTGAGTACTGTATAAATACAGGTCCATTTACCATTTACTCTCAAGTTGCCTCTTGAATAGTCAGATTAATTACCTATTAAACGACTAATTTAACTATCTAGCAGCCTACCAACTAACCTAAAAACCAACAATCAACCAACTTGCGTTCAGCCCTACACTCAGCCCTCCTTAAATGTCAGATGAGCTAATGAAGCAGAGCATCCCCTACCAATTTATGTACATACTTTACAAGTCTACCAAAGTCCCTACTTTTCTACCTACACTACTAACTTACGTAACTACTTAAAAACTTACCTACCAATCAACCAATTAAAGATTAATTTCGGAGTTGCCACCAGATTAGTGAGATGATAATGCAGCAGAACCTCCCCTACCTACCTACTTACAACAACCGGCATACACCTACTGTACCAACTTACCTACCTATAAACCTACCGACCTGCTGCTGAGTCTGTTGAGCTAATGAGGCAGAGCTTCGCCTACCTA